AGTCTGGACTGAGGTGCTTCAAGCAGGTACTGTTAAAAAATAACTTTGATGAGCCCCAGAGCAGAGTCCTGCCTCGGATACCCGGCGGATAACCCGCAAAATAGTTGTGTAACGGGCAAAACATACATGTAGGCCTATATCCAGGGGTGCACATAACTGGTACGCAGGTACGCATGCGCGGCAACAATCTGAATTGCGTACGGTCACTTGTGTCACAAAGCGCATTTGCGTACCGACGTACTTGTGAAGCTTTTCCAGAAGGCGGTTAGATCACCGGACGACAGAGTCGGTCTCCGTGTGCACAGACAGGGCTGCTGTTAACGTCGGTCTGTTCAACGGAATTGTGCCAAAACTACGCCAACCGGCTGCGGAGGGAGACTCCCCCCCTTCACTGGAGAACTGCGCTAAAACAGCTGATCACAACGTTCACGCTCTGTGGTCACGAAGTACTCCACTAGCCCCCCCCCCCCCAAATTCACAACAGGTCGGGTCCAGATTTGACTTGAAGATAATTGCATGTAACGGTCGGTTCGCGGTAGCTACTGAGCTGCGAGGGTTCGGGTGGGTGCAGATTTGCAAAACTGGACCCATGCAGGACTCTGCCCCAGAGGCTTTTAAGTTGAAGCTTAACCCTTGTGAATCCCTTTTTAAAAACGTTACTTTGAAAACACTAACGACAAAAATGTCCTCATCTAAAAATACTGTAATAAAGATATTATAGGCTATGTTAATATTTGTGTTCCACTTTCAATTACTTACATATTTTTAACCAAATTCAGTGCTGATCATAATTATCAAATGTTCATTCATTTTTATTTTTGTCGCTAGGGATTTGAAAGTCACTATTTTGATTACACATACACTTATTAAGAACATGTTTCCAAAAAAACACATCTTTACCAAATGTCGTGCCATATTCTTAACACAATCAGAATGCTCCAAAATTAAACAGTGGCATGGATAATACATTTCCTTAGGGAGGCATAAGGGTTAATGTGCTTATTTAATTAAATACTGCATCACAGTAGGATGTTAACAGAATTTACTGTAATTGACCCAAGGATGGCAGATTGCTTAAAGTTGCATTGTAGTCTTACGATAAGAGATACAGTAATTAAATGAGATTTTGTATCCACCAAAAGCACTACCCAACCCCAAGAGCCCACCTGCCACAAAGGTGAAGAAAAGAAAAGTGGACCAACAGGAACAAGACGCACAGGGAAATGTGAGTTTCTCTAAGACTTACTATGTTCAAAGTGTGTCAATTGTTCTCCAGCATTTTAATTGTAACAATGGAATAAGTAAATATTGTCAGAAAGTAAAGCATGGACTAAATTGGTAAAGAGTGAGGTGAAGGACAAAGGACATGAAGTATTATAACCCAAGATGATTAGGTGCATGTTGTAGGGGGAGAATATGAAGATGAACAATGTAAATACAGCTTACAAACTTAGAACAGAAACTAGATTTCCAAATCAGACTTTAAACTGCAATTACAGTTTCTGTTCCTGAGCAGCCTGTTTAATGTCATTTAGTGAAAACTCTAAAAGGGACTGAGGTTAAATGCATAAACATGGACAGTTTAATTATATTTTGTGCATGTAGCTTTGATGGTGCATGTACAAAAACAAGGCCTTCACCCAAACATTCAAGATTGTTAACCCTCTGGTGTCATTCAAGTGCACTACCCTAATTAGTCATTCGGGACAAAAATGTCCAGAGTGATACCGGAGGGTTAAAAGATTCCTCAAGAGTCCATATTAAACAGACTGCATCTATTTCCCCTCAATCCTAACTTGCAGTTGACCTGGCTGTGGAAAAAAAGGACACAGAGGTGGTCGTGGCAGTGCTCCCCTCACAGATGAAAGGACGCATCTTGCTTATCCGCCACTGTGAGCTATGCTCACTTCGACCCCACCAGTGGTTGACAGGGGAGGTACTACATGTTTCAAGTGTCTGAAGTTTCACTCTACACTGTGTTATTTTCTTTATCTAGCATTTAACGATTTCTCCCCAAAATGTCTAGATACTTTTGTCAGTCACAAGATTCTCAAAGTTGCAGGAAATGAAAGTTCAGTATAACTGGGAATATGCATTAATTAGCAAATTGTTATGATCTTTTTTGCCAGGTAATTGAAGGCGTGTTTCATGTTGCTGCCGACAAATTTGCCGTTCTGAACTAAATGTACTTGCTAAATCACTACACAGCAGGTGTCATTTTGTTCGGGGACAGAACTCAGCTAATATCTCACAGTTTACCGAAGGTAATGTGTGTGGTCTGTGTATGTTTATGTGTGTGGTGTGTTGTGTTTGTGCATGGTGATGCTGTAGGGGGAAGAAGGTGTGGATTTGATTTGTGGGCTCACACTCACACATTAGGTACATGGAGTGAAGCATTGGCTGAGGTCTTAAATAGGAAATGAGCTGAGATTATTTTACTTTATCCTCTCTGAAACTATACTCATTAGTTAAATCACCTGATACATCTACTTACTATTGAATTCCCATACCAACACTTGTTCTAAGAACAACAAATGAATGCCACAAGAACATCATTGTCAGACTAATGTTGTTGTTATTTTTACCTTAGCCTTCAAGTTTGTTTTAATCCTTTATTTGATGCCATTATAGGTCAACTTTGACAACTATGAAGCTGTCCTGTCCTTTGTACTTGTCAACAACAACCACTGGAAGTTGCTGGTTTGTAATTATTTTGTCATTGTATTATTTCTGTTAAAGCACAAGACTTACAGAGTGAAGCCAAAAATATGTTTTGATGAAAAGTGCTTTTACTTGTTTTGTTCTCTCACAGTACATTCATGCCAACACCAGCACCGTATTCCTGGTGGATCCAGCTCAAAGCATCAAAGAGCTTGATGACTCCGAACATGCTGCCAAAAGAATACAGTAAATCAAAATTCAATAGATATTTGAAAATTCAAGTAAAAACTATATTTAAACGTAAAAAATGTGTCACATTTAGTTATATTCATACTCACACACAGCATTGAACGCATTTTAAACAGTCTGATACAGTCTGTGTTCAGACAGTGATATCTATAGCTGACCTGTGGCTGCCTCTTATATAAATAAATGGTCATATGGTGAATACAAACAGTATGAATTTCTGTTACATTATCTTTAGGAGCCACATCATTAGAAATGTAAAGTGTGTTAACATGATCCTTTCTCAGGGAGCACTTCAGGATGAGGAGCCACAGCATAACAGACTGGGTGGATGTTAAGTGGAAGGGAGGCGTTATGGGCCACCCACTTCAAACGGATGGATGTAGCTGTGGTGTCGTTGTTGTGAAGGTGAGCTGAAGAGATTCTGTTTTCATCCAGTTAACAAGCAGAGTTTTTAATGTGAAAGACAGTTTGATGCAAGGGCGGATTCAAAAAGCTGTCAAAAGTAGTTGTTGACCGATAAAGGTTTTTTAAAGGCCGATGCTGATCCCCATCATATTTAGCAGGCAGGTTGGCCAATGCACAATATACAGTATATTGCCGATATCATGTTGTTGTTTATTGTATTTTTCACAACTGACAACAATTGGATTATGACACAACATTGCTGAACTTAAATGAACAGTTATTTAATACTAATGTAGTATTCACTTGAACACAGAAAGTTTAATTGACAAAACTTTGCTTCCAAATATCTCAAAATTCCAATAATAGGACCGGTCTATATCAATACTCAAAGGTTTTGGGAGGCATTCTAGTCAAGGGTGGATGTCTTCTATAATGTGTCTCATGTTTGTGTCTGTATCTGTATTACTATACAATAAAGAAGAAAAACCCTCCATAACATAAGTGTTGTTTGTTTAGATGGCAAAGGCAGTCATGGAGTCCTTCCCTCTGATCCCGAATGTGAATTTCGAGTGTTCGAAGAAATACATGAAACGGGAGAGGAGAGAACTGGCTCTCGAAATCCTTGAGGCATCAGGTAAATAAATATGAATATGTGTATATATATATATGGGTGTCTGTATGTATATATATATGTATGTATGTATATGTATGTGTATATAGAAGCTGACATACATGTATTGTTATCTTGTTTCAGTCTTTGATGAGCACACTTATTGTGCTATGTGTGCTGCCTTAAGGCCTCCAGGATCTGGATCTCCCATCACAGACTGGGTGAGCTGTTGTGAAGAAAATGTGGAATTGTCATGTCTACATTTATGTATTCATTTATTTAACAGGGACAGCGCACATTAATGAACATTTCTGTAACTGTGCCAGAGTTAGCCAAGAGGCTATTTTTCATCTGTAGTCCCTGGACAGATTTTAAAAGTCAACCTCAAACACATAATTAATTTTAAACAACTAAATACAATACATTTAAAACATGCAACACACATTAATGGAATACTTAAATAAAAAAAATGTAAAAGATAGAAACAATAAAAAAACAAACCAAACAAACAAACAATAGAGCATGTTAAAACACAGGCAGTGGGTTTTAAGGAGCAGATGATTGTGTCAGCTGATTCCTCACTAACACTTGAGTATTAAGACAACTGAATGGTAATCTAAGGTACAAATATATAAATACACTATTTCTTTCACTTCAACAGGTTCAGTGTGATGACTGTGAACGATGGTACCATGCCCAGTGCCTGGCAATGGACAGCAGAGACTTTAAAAAGGCAGAGACAGGATATTGGAATTGTCCTTTGTGCAAGTAATACTTGAAATGTGCTCAATGATGACGATTAGTAAAACATGTGTCCTGTGTAGCCTTGTTTGTATTACTTTCTGATCATTAATCACTGGGTCACATGACAGGGAAGCTCTAGAAAAAAACCTGAATTTTTTAATATAAATATTAATATTAAATAGAGGATGTAATATTATCCGATATAAAGAGCTGTTTCTATTGTGTACAGACTTGTATTCAATTCATAAAGTGATTTTGAGTCATTAGTTATTGAAGAAATAAGCTAATTTTCACATACAATTATTAATATAAAAATATTTGGAGTATTAAAATACAATAAAAAGAGGTGTGTCCTATGCAGCCGGTGTAGTTCTTTGACCCAACATTGATTTTGAGTAAATCGGTCACATGACCTGGTAGGTATTGAGGAAATAGGCTCATTTTTCCATCAAAATATTAATATAAAATATTTAGAGTGTTAAAATACAATAAAAAGAGGTGTGTCCTATGCAGCCAGTGTAGTTCTTTGACCCAACATTGATTTTGAGTAAATAGGTCACATGACCTGGAAGGTATTGAAGAAATAAGCTAATTTTTCCATCAAAATATTAATACAAAAATATTTAAAGTATTAAAATACAATAAAAAGAGGTGTGTCCTATGCAGCCAGTGTAGTTCTTTGACCCAACATTGATTTTGAGTAAATAGGTCACATGACCTGGAAGGTATTGAAGAAATAAGCTAATTTTTCCATCAAAATATTAATACAAAAATATTTAAAGTATTAAAATACAATAAAAAGAGGTGTGTCCTATGCAGCCAGTGTAGTTCTTTGACCCAACATTGATTTTGAGTAAATCGGTCACATGACCTGGAAGGTATTGAAGAAATAAGCACATTTTTCCATCAAAATATTAATATAAAATATTTAAAGTATTAAAATGCAATAAAAAGAGGTGTGTCCTATGCAGCCAGTGTAGTTCTTTGACCCAACATTGATTTTGAGTAAATCGGTCACATGACCTGGAAGGTATTGAAGAAATAAGCACATTTTTCCATCAAAATATTAATATAAAATATTTAAAGTATTAAAATGCAATAAAAAGAGGTGTGTCCTATGCAGCCGGTGTAGTCCTTTGACCCAACATTGATTTTGAGTAAATCAGTCACATGACCTGGAAGGTATTGAAGAAATAAGCTCATTTTTCCATCAAAATATTAATATAAAATATTTAAAGTATTAAAATGCAATAAAGAGAGGTGTGTTCAACAAATGCATGCTCTAGCGTGGATTTGCTTCACATTCACTCGATCGGGAAGCTGTCGATTTATTAAAAAGAAAAATGTTCTTGTGTAATTGAAAAGTCATTTGTTGATGGTCCCTAAGTGAAAGCCTCGTTTCGCGGAGAAGATCTCCCCGTCGTAATACACACAGCAGCAGGGGAAACTGACGCTGCTGGCGGGTCCGCGAATGTCCGTCGAATATCCAACCTAAAACTAAATTCACCGCGGTATCAGTATCACACTAATCCATAAAGCAAGTTAGACATTTTGATGTTCCGGACCTTTGCATGGGGAGATTCTCTCTAACTGGACCTCGTTGCATTTTAGTTGAATACCCCTGTACTAGAGTGTAGGAATACTCTGTTACAGTAAAAGTCCATCAAAAATATAGTGAAAGTAGCGACATTAAAAGTAGTCGTTGTGCAGATTGGTCCATTTCAGAATAATATATATATATATGTTTTATAATGATTGATCATGAAAGTGTTCTCAAAGCTGGTGAAGGTGCAGCTAGTTTGAATGACTTTGTATACTGCAGGGTAGCTGGTGGATTTACTCCAGGTGGAACTAAAGTCTGATTCAACACTTGGTTAGATTTCACATCATTCATCCACATCTGGAAAGTAACTAAAGGGATTAAATACATGTAGTGGAGGAAAAGTACACAATTTACATCTGAACTGTAGTGGAGTTGAAGTACATAGCAGCATAAAAAGGAAATGTATTCAAGTAAATTACAAGTATCTCAAATTGGTACTTAAGTACAGTACTTGAGTAAATGTACTTAGTTACTTCCCACGTCTGAAAAACAATAACACTACTTGACAAACCTGTTCTGTATAGCCGGACTTCTGGGTTCAAAAGGGCGTCCAGTAGCTTCTGTTGTCGCTGATTCTCCTTTAAAGTTGACTCCAGTTCCTCTGCTATCGTCCTCTCAAACAGCTCGAATATCTCCTCAGCAGCTGCAGTGAGCCGCTCGTTGACAAAAGCTCTCAGTGTTTCAACTTTAGACATGTTTTTATCAAATCACAGCAACCTTTCCTCCAGTGAATGCTGTGTTGCTAGGCTACGTTCTCGTCCGTCTCGAGCTAGAAAGCTAACATCCTTAGCTTCGTGGGGGAGATATTCCAGACGTTTCTTAAGCCATAAACACCGCAAACTCCATTCAGTTAGGTGTTTTGACGGTTTTCCCCTGACAAATAATACAGATTGGTCTCTGCAATGAACGCTGTGTAGTCAAGTTCCGTCACCGTCTATGTGGAGCTAGCGCGCTAAGCTAACTTCCGCTAGCATTCTTCACTCCATGGATTTTTTCCCAATTCCAAACCGCCACCTACACACTAGGCTTGTTTGAGACAAGCGAGACCTGTGCAGACCTGCGCAATTTCGATCAAGGTCTTGCTAGTGCGTTGCATGATGGTTAGTCATTTTGTCCGACTTGCTCTGGAGGCTCAACTACATGAGACGTTGAAATCTCGCGGGACAAAGACGCCCGCAGCCTTGAGAGCGAGGCGCGGCGAGTCGGCGCAGTTACTAGGCTTGTTTGAGACGCGTTGCGGCTCGCCTCGAAAGTAGACGAGAGTAGCCGATCGCAGCCGGGGGAGGTCTCAAAAAGCTTGCCTGAAGTCGGACAGCTCGGAGTCGGCTTCGTCTTCTTCTCTCGGTTTTTTGGCGGATTGCAAACAGCTTGAAGGTGCATACCGCCACCTCCGGAGTCGGCTTGACTCTGTTTGCATTTATAAAGAATGCACACATGTGTTTAATCGTTAATGTCAGATATGTACTAAGTAAATACATGTGTTCCTGCTCAAGATTAGATTCAACTTTATTGTTATTGCACATATTACAGGTACTGAGACAACGAATGCACTTTAGCAACAAGCAGTAAAGTGAAAAGTAATGTACACAATCTACAGAATAAAATATAGAATGAATTGAATGATGAATAAACAGTGAGGGGTATGAATACACTAGATATACACAGCAGCCTGAGAGCAGTATGAACAGTGTGTATGAATATGCTAAGATATATAAAGTATGAAAACGGTAAGCAGTGCAAGTATAGTATAAAATATATGGATATTAATTTAATGATGATAAATATTGTGGAACAATGATGAAAAATGGGAATGGATGTGGCGACGTAAAACTGACACAAAACAACAACAAACTTTTGCCGAGCCAATTGGAGAGTTTCATCACCAGCACGTGGTAAAAACCACCAATGAGCGCTCAGCTCGAGATACTAGCGAGTCGTTTCCCATCAAGCATTTAGCTTCCGCAGCCCGTGGAGAGGAACTGCGCCGCCTCGCTGCGCCTCGCTGTCAAGGCTGCGGGCGTCTTTGTCCCGCGAGATTTCAACGTCTCATGTAGGCGAGCCTCCAGAGCAAGTCGGACAAAATGACTAACCATCATGCAACGCACGAGCAAGACGTTGATCGAAATTGCGCAGGTCTGCGCAGGTCTCGCTTGTCTCAAACAAGCCTACTCTCCACGGGCTGCGGTAGCGAAATGCTTGATGGGAAACGACTCGTTGGTATCTCGAGCTGAGCGCTCATTGGTGGTTTTTACCCCGTGCTGCAATAGAAACTCCAATTGGCTCGGCAAAAGTTTGTTGTTGTTTTGTGTCAGTTTTACGTCGCCACATCCATTCCCATTTTTCATCATTGTTCCACAATGTTTATCATCATGAAATGAATATCTATATATTTTATACTATACTTGCACTGCTTACCATTTTCATACTTTATATATCTTAGCACACTGTTCATACTGCTCACAGGCTGCTGTGTATATCTAGTGCAGGGGTGCCCAACCTTTTTTGAACCGAGAGCTACTTTTAAAGTTGCCAGTCTGCCGAGATCTACCAGTCCAAATAGAGAGGCGTAGCCATTACTGACAGCCTACTACCAAGTAAAGTAGGCTGTACTTCTACTTGTATACAACTGACCTTTGTACGATTAATACTTCATAAAATACTGCAGATCCTTTATCTTACCTCTTTCTAATCTACACACATACAAGTATTTAACTGAAGTTACACAACAGTGTTGTTGATACAGAGTTGGAGTGTATTCACACGTCACATACTACAGTGGGTAATGTTTTCAAGAAGCATTGAACAGTGCTGCCACATATGACACAGGAAAAGAAGAAAAGACTCTGAACCCTTTCTTTGCCATTATATAAAAATAGTGTTGCTACAAACGTATAAATGAGGCTTACTAATAAGACAACTCAGATCTGAAGCTACACAGGAATCTGCTGCCAAAGTGCAATAAAAAAGACCAAATTAATAGAATCGAACCCTTTTTTGTAGCATTTTTATTGCAGTATAAAAAGAAATGCCTTTAAAATAGGATGCAAGCAACACTAGTTTCTTAACCTGAATTGATAATAGACTATAATCAATTTAAGTTTGCATTCTTATACCATTTTGTACAATAATTATAAAGAATAAGTTCAAACAAACTCAAACTTACAGCTGATTAATAACGGTATCTAACTTGAGTTTTTATCATATCAAAAACTTTTTTGAATGCTACTGTTATTTTTAGTGTCACCAAAAAGCGCGTCGGCAGCCTCCAGGAATGCTTCTTTCACAACTTCGCCGTCTTTGAAAGACTTCATGTGTTTCTCAAGAACGTGACTGACACGATAAGATGCTATGGTAGCAGCCTTGCTCTTGTTGTTGGGCCTGGTGGAAATGGAGTGCTGTGCATTTAGCTGTCCTTTCAGGCCCCTCCCCTTTTGGAGCGTAGGCAGAATTAGGAGGGAATTCCGCCTCGTAGCGTTTGTGC